ATATGCATATAAAGTAAAGCTCCCGCAAAAAAAGAATTTATATGAAGTAGATCATACCACCTATCGAATATTTTAATCACTTCGAAGTCAAGTTCCACAAAATGGAAACGTACGTCCCAAAATTCACTCCATTTGGGCTGATATTAGCCATTATTTGCATAATAAATCTAATATCGGATTAAGTAGTATATGGGAGCTATATCCAAATCTTAGCCGCTCAAGATAAAATTTGGCAAAGATATTTCCGAGCTCCATAAGATAACTGGTACCAAAAATCATTCTTGTGGAGTGCATATTACGCATATGAGAGAGACTTAAAGCCCCAAATCGGATGAAACATATAAATGGGAGCCATAGCTGTATCTCAAGCGATTTTCTCCAAATTTGATGTACTTGGTTCTAGACTGAATTCGGTCGGATTTACCAAAACCCATGACTTTTGCACAAATATTGGCCATTTGGTGTACAATTAACCCGAAATTGGTTGAAGATTTATATGGAAGCTATATCCAAATCTTAACCGATCTTTTGGCAGAGGTATTTCTGGGCTGTATATGTTATCTGGTACCAAATATCATTGCTGTCGAATGCATATTACGAATGTGAGGGACTTACACATTAAATCGGATTAAATCATATATGGGAGCTATAACTATATCTGAACCGATTTTCTCCTAATTCGATGTAGTTGCTTCTGGATTGAATTCGGTCGGATGTGTCATTTAGACTTATATTGGCCATTTGGTGCACAATTAACCCGAAATCGGTTGAACATATATGTGAGCTATATCTACATTTGATCCGATTATCAACAATTTCAGTAAGGTTCGTCCTTGGGCCAAACAAATATTGTTTGCAAAATTTCATCTCAAACGGATAACAAATTGCATTTTTTCACAAGAATATACGGAAGGACGGACATGCATAAATCGACTCAGAAAGTGATTCTATGAATATCCTCAAAAGTAACTATGGGTCTGTCTCGCTTCCTTTTCGCTCTCGCTTTCTTCACAAAGACATAATTCCCCTACCCTTATGTGGTGTAGGGTATAAAAACAGAGTTTTGGTAGGGTATTTCTACATTCGCGGAATATTTACTTCAAGAAACAACTTAACCCTTATCCTCTTGTATTCGATTGCGAAACGTTCTCTCTTAAAACAATGTATTTTTTACCAACTAACAAAAAAAAAATAAACCCAGATACTTGTAATTTTACTTATTTAACTCCAGCCCCAGAGGTTGGCTGATTGTCTAGCCTGCAGTGACTTCCTCATGTCTGTGCAACAGCATCCCGATATCTATGGGCTGCCCAAAACAGCTTAAGTTAAAATATGATTTTGTTTTGGTCTTAAAATACGTTTCTTCTCCTTTTTTTGCCATTTACTTTTCCATTTCTTAACTTATTGCGTTTCTATGTCCGCAAGAACCACATCTCCTTTTTCTTCTTCTTTTTCATGTTCTTCCCTGAAATCTTATTAAGAAAAACTACAACGCACTTTGTTAAAGTGTGCTGTGCGAGCATGCTTAATAGAATGCAAATTCCGGCATTACGGCTACGAGAGAGAATTATTTGCTGATCTTTGGGCAGTAAATTTTCTTTATTTTAGTCGTTTTTTTTTTTTTTTTTTGAGTTTTTCTTTGGCTTCGGCTGTCTTAGACATTTGACATTGACTAACACACTTGCGGTTGGTTTTGGCTTGTGGTTAAAACATTTGACCGACCCAACAAACCGGTGGTGATGGCGGTGCTGGATGTGTCTGATTAAGTAAAGATTGTAAATGTTATGGGATTCTTTAACCTCTTGGAGAAAAACAGTTAAAGTGGTTTTGTGTGGATCCGGAAAGCAAAGGAAAATCAATGCTTAGTGGTCATTGGAAAAATATGGTCATGAATAGAAGAAAGTTGCCTTGCATTGTGGAAATGACATTTCAGAGGCTTTCTCCAAGGATGAGTTTTTAATTTGGTTTGTAATTTATTTTATTTTCTAGGTTTTATTTAATGGTTTTGAAGATTGTCTTCATTATCGTTAAGCGAAAGGCAATATATAAAATATAATAACGAAGAATTCATGATTTTTTGGCAGAATTAGGGAAATAAATTCAAAGATATTTTATCAGAACTCAGAAAAATATACGCATTTCATATAAAGATTTTCTAAACCTAAGTCACATATATTTAGAACGTTGTTATAAGGAACAAGTAAAAAAGCAGCTAAGTGCGGCCGGGCCGAATACCCTTCACCATTTGGAAGAACTTGAAAATTAAAAACAAATCCCAAAACTACCACTTCATTGAAACCCGTTATATGGAGACTAAACAAAGTTGTGGACCTGCGAAATGTTAAGCAGATCCAGTGAATAATGTCGCTAAAATCATTAAAATGTCGACTATCGGAAGATACCGTTATATGGGGCTTTACGAAGACGTGGACCTGCATACAAAAATTTTTGTCATACGCTGTAATGCCCATTACGAATTTCAAATATGAAATAATAAATAATGTCGCTTAAATCATGAAAATACCGAACATCCGGAGAATTTAACCTGCCTACTGGTAAACTATGCATGTATGCAACATTTCAGCCTTCTATCTTGATTCGTTCGAAATATAGCGTGATTACAACAGACAGTCAGACGGACATCGCTAAATCGTCTAAGAGTTTTATGCTGGTCCAGAATATATATATATATATATATATATACTTTGTAGGGTCTATAATGAATATTTCGAAGGGGTTGCAAACGGAAAAACAAAGCTAATACGGAAATGAGATAATTGTAGTAAACACGATAATTTTGTTTGTTTACAGACTGCTCGACAAAAGATGTCCAGCGACAGCGAAGCAATTCTTTAGCTGTTTTGAAGCTATTTTCTTTCGGTTTCTCTGTAAGTTCTTGCACTTTTTGGAATTTCAATGGCTTTACCCCGAGCTAATTTTTCAATATTTGCCGAATGGAATATTGCGATATTTTCAGTTCACGAGCCATTTTTCGGCCACTGCGACGCGAGAGTCGATCAAGTCGCTTCTTTACTTTTCGAACCATTTCTGCTGATGTTGCTGTTTTCTTCCGTACACTTCCTTGACGACGAGCTATGCTACCAGTATCACGGTAACAAGCGATGGTACGAGACACAAAGATTTATTCACATTTAAATGCTGGAGTGCTCTAACGATAACCACTTTTGGTTTTCCAGCCTAATATAAAAAATCACACTATCACGCTTGAATTCCATCACGAATTCTGAAAATTCTCACCAAAATGCTTTTGTACGCTTGTAGACAATATAATGAGCTGTCACTGGAGTTATTTTGACAGCAGTCGGACGAGTGGCTTAGAAATGACAGCCGTCTGAACTTGGTTGCAGTTTTTTCATCTCACCCTGTATATGTGGGAGTTATATCCTAATCTGATCCGAACTCGATAAATGTTGACAGATGTATTTTTGAGCCCCATAAGTTATGTGGTACTAAATTTCATTTTTATGGATTGCGCATTATGCATGAAAGGGACTTAAAATCCCAAATCGGATGAAACATATATATGGGAGCTTTGGTTATATCTGAACCGATTTTGATGTATCGTTTGGGAATTTTCCTCTCGATCGGATAATAAATGCGACCTTCGTTTTTTTTTTTTTTTTCACAAAAATACATAGACAGACGGACGGGCAGGGTAAGGCAGAAAGTGATTCTATGAAGTCACCAAAAGTAACTATGGGTCTACCTGGATTCCTTCTATACATACAATGTTTCGCCACTGGAGCTAGAACCCATTATGACCAGCAAATACCAATTTGTTGACAAGAAATCGTGAAGAAATATGACAGAAACCATGAAAATACCGAATATCGGGAGATACCGTTGTATCGGAGCTATACCAAAATGTGGACCTATACATACAATGTTTCGCCACCGGAGCCAGAACTCTAGCTAGAGAGTCTGTACAGGTATTCTGTAGACATTGAAAGTATGATGTATTTAAGACACTGCACCTAATAAAGGTTTTCTTCAGAAAACACACTCTGAAAATAAATGCCCCCATTCCCAATTTATTAATTCTTAGTTTTCTTTTTTTCGTGGAAGAAAAATCTCATTTACTTATCTAAATTAGCATTGTTTGAACATCTGTTTTCCATTCTAAATACAACACCAATTGCTGACATCAAAATTTACAACTTAAGGACGGTCATAAAATAGAAAAATATTGCGAAGCCTTCTCTTACTGCCGTATGCCATCCACAAGAATGCCGACTTTATTGAGTTTTAAGTAGACCCACTACGCTCTCGCCTCAAACAGTTGATGCTGGTAGTTAATAATCTAATGGTAAAGTTTATTATGCATCTTGCCATAAAATCATTAAAATGTTAATGCTAATCAAGTGAATAAAATGAAGAGGTTAGTATGATCATTTAGGGAAGTTAAAATGTTGTTAACAATTTCACCAAATTTAGATGGGTCAGAACTCAGAATTTAAATTTACGGTTTTTCCAAACTATAACTTTAAAAAAATATCTTCAGTTTTGCAGCAAAATGCCTTAGTATTTTCCCAATCTTTTTATACGTTCCTCATAAATTTTTTAGCAATTTCTACTACCTACATTTGTTGGTCTAGTATTAAAAATCAATTGTAAAATGATAATATCTTCTACGCTGATTCTCCTCTTTTAAAATGCTCGTGCAAAAGACGTTGCTTCTTAAGTCTTGCAAAAGTTTTATGGGCATTGTCATCAGCATTTTGCATAGAAACCAAACCGCAACTGCAATATAACTTAAGTGACTTAACCTCATTTTCCATTGGTAGTCATTTTAGACAAAGAGAGAGAAAAACTGATTAGGCAAGTACATTTATTACAGCTTACCGTTAAAGTGAAAGGTCTAAGTCTATATAGGCCTATAACGGACAAAATTACGTTTTCTTCTTTGACCATTTATTGCAATGAAAATGCTAATGAATTGTTTTGTTTTGTTTTTTTTTCTATTTTTTCTATTTTTTCAGATATTGGCCAACAAACAAATCCACCCGAACTACCCATATTTGGTGATCCCTTTACGGAAATCGCCTTGGATCTAGTCTTTCCCAAAGGAAATCCAATATTCTTATTGAATGGCAAGAAGTTACAACTGCTGCAGCCATTGGATCGCGATGAAGAGAATTTAAGTCATATTGTGTTTCAAGTACGTATTGTTTCATCTTTCAGATATAATTTTATTAGAAATGCCACTTAAAATTGTGTTAATTTAGTGAAAATCATTGGCAACATTTTAGAGCATCCTCTGAAAATATTACTTATTAGCATCTTTTATTGTCAGAAAACATTTATGCCACCACAAAGTCTGACAAATGGTCATGTGATAGGTAAACTATTTATTAAATTTATTAAAAACAAAAATTTCTAAAAAAAAAACAATTGGGACTTAATCTTTTCAAAGTAGGCAAATGAAATTTACAGTTGTAGCTATTGTGGTGAAGCTACCAGAAGAAGAGGGCCGATAGTAAATATTTTCTTAAAAATCTACAAAAAAAAAAACATTTGCCAGCCAGGAAGAATATAATGATCAAATTTATTTAATTTATGCAAATAATATTATAAATTCCTTGCAAAAATGTACAATTTTGGTCATACAAACTTAAAATATTCAAAAAAGGATAAATATTTTTCCAGGAGGTCCTTAAAAAAGTCTAAGAAAATAAGTCTTTTGGTCATGAAAACTTAAATATTTTTAAAAATATTATTGACACAATATACAATAGTGAGATGAAAAAACTGCAACCAACTTCAGACTGCTGTCATTTCTAAGCCCCTCATCCGACAGATGTTAAAATTACTCCAGTGACAGCTCATTATATTGTTTACAAGCGTACAAAAGCATTTTGGTGAGAATTTTTCAAAAAAAAAAAAAAAGTTATTCGTGATGGAATTCAAGCGTGATTTTTTTATATTTGACTGGAAAACCACAAATGGCTATCGTTAGAGCACTAAAACATTTAAATGTGAATAAATCATAAATAAATACCATCGCTCCTTATCATGATAATGGTAGCGTAGCTCGACGTCAAGAAAGTGGACGGAAGAAAACAGCAACATCAGCTGAAATGGTTCGAAAAGTGAAGAAGTGACTTGATCGAAACGCGCATCGCAGTGGCCGAAAAATGGCTCATAAACTGAAAATATCGCAATATAGAAAAATGAGCTCGAGGTAAAGCCATTGATATTCCAAAAAGTGCAAGAACTTACACCGCAACTGAAAGAAAATAGACTCAAAAGAGCTAAAGAGTTGCTCCGCTTGGCCAAAAGTGGTGAACTGCCTAACTTGTTTTTCTCCGATGAGAAAACATTCGTGTTCCAAGCAAATTTGCAAACAAACAAAATGATCGTGTTTACTTGCCAAAGAGGTTAGCTGACAATCTGCAACTTCGGTTGGCCACTAGAACTTAAGCGCCGGCCATGGTAATGGTGTGGGCCACAATAACAGCCGATGGTCGCTCTTCGCTCGTAATAATCGACCGTGGCATCAGAAAAAATGCCGAAAATTTATCGCACAAATATTTTTCGAGGGTGTATTAAAGCCTTGGGTACGCAAACATTTTGGCCGTAGACCATGGACATTCCAACAGGACTGAGTACCATCGCTTCATTTTCAGCACACAATGGCCAACAAAATCTCCGCATACCAATCCGTTGGACTATTGTGTCTGGAGTATTTTGCAAAGCAAGGTTGGCTTTAAACAATACCAAAGTGTCGATCACCTCAAGCAAGCGCATCGTCGGGAATGGGCCAAAATACCGCAGAGTAACATTCGGGCAGCGTGTGACGGTTTTATTGGCCGTTTAAAGGCCATTATTCGTGCCAACGATTACCAATTCGAAAAAGTCTAAAGTTATTCTAAAATTTGATATTATTTCCGAATTGTTGCTTTCATTCAGTAAAATTAAAAAAAAACTATGTAAAAATTATAGCGTTTCACTTTGTTGCAGTTTTTTTATCTCACCGTGTATATATGTTGCATCCGATTTGGCGTTTAAAATCCCTCACAAACGTAATATGCATTCCCCAACAGTGATATTTTGTACCAGATATCTTATAGAGTTCGGAAATACCTCTGCTATATGTTATCAAGATCGGTTCAGATTTGGATATAGCTCCCATATATATCCTCAACCGATTTCGGGTTAATTGTGCTCCAAATGGCCAATATCTGTCCAAACGTCGTGGATTTTGGTACATCCGACCGAATGCAGTCTAAAAGCAAGTGCATTAAATTTGAATAAAATCGGTTCATATATAGCTATTACTCCCATATGTATTTCATCCGATGTGGTCTTTAAGTCGCTCACATTCGTAAAATGCATTCGACAACAATGATATTTGGTACCAGAAATGTTATGTCTAAATGTTTGGAAATGTTAGCCCCCATATGTATCCTTAATCGGATTTCAGGTTTATTTTACACATAATCGATAATATCAGCACAAATGGAGTGAATTTCGGAACGTACCATTTTGTACAACTCGGCTCAGATATTTTTGTTTTTTTTAATATAATGCATCTCCAAGTGATATCATGCACTCTATAGCAAACTATAACTGCTCTAGAGACAAATGTTGATAGGTGGTATAATCTACTTGAAATAAATTCTTTTGTTACGGGAGCTCTACTAAATATGCATAATGGTGTACGGTATCATATAGTCGGCCCCACCCGACTTTTGACTTTTCCTTACTGGTTGTATTTATATCGTGTAGTTTATATCGGCGATTATAATCTTTCATACCACCCATTTACTTTCTTGCAATTGTTTTTAATAGTTTATTTGCCATACTTTATCATCTTTCATATCTTGTTCTCACATCGGTAAAAATATCACTTTATGTGCACACATACATACACACATATATAATTACATATTTGAAAACTTCACAATGTTACCACCTCGCTCGTTAGATCTCTTCATAATTAAGACATTTTTTTCGAAGAGAAAAAAATCAAGCCATAACTGTTTTATTGCAACAAAGGGGTGTACATAAATTATGTGACAAGCTTTGCTGGCAAATGATGGCAGGTGTAACACGAATTGAGTTGGGCATAACGATCGTTAAACTGCAAACTTTTATTGTCAATTTATTCGCAGTTTCTCGCAATGGCGCACAAAGTTTTCTTTAATTGCTAATTTCAAATCATTTTTTTTTCATTTCAGGTTTCCTGTACCGTACGCTCCTCGAACAAACGTCGCAATATACCGATTATAGTGCGCGTGTCTGATGTTAATGATAATGCGCCACGTTTCATGAACACACCTTATGAGGTTACAGTGCCCGAGGTAAGTTACATTTCGTTTTGTTGTATTTGTTATTCATTCTTCGAAGCTATTGTTTCAAATACTATTCATTCACAAAAATATGTATAATGTGTGTTAAACATACAAATTTACAACAAGAACATGAACATGAGCATAGGCAACGGAACGGAACGAAACGAAACGAAAACCCACCGAAAAAATAACAATTAAAAAATATTTCCTCTGATTTTAAATGCTTAGCCAGAGTCATCGTCTTTGGAGTTGTTGGTGGTATCGTATGGTATTCGTTGCCAAAGTCTGCTGCCAAGCATTTGAATATGCATCCGCCAGGCAGCCAGGTATCTTCGTAATATCTGTGAATTACGGTTTCTTGACTACAACAAAAAAACAACAAAAAATACTGTTTCTAAAAGGTGGGTGGCAGTCAAGTTGGTTGGCTTGGCATGGCTTCGTTCTTTAATCTTTGCATATGTATCACAATAGTTGTAGTTCGTTGCGGTGGTACCTTATCTCGCCCACGCCATGCCACACCAGCCACATTGTCTATTTGGGATTTTTTTGTTTTTTGTTTTATTACCGTCTTCTAATTTTCTGGGTTCCATACAAGATTCTATTTCTTTTTTTCGGGTTTTCCAGTTTCATTATTGTTTTATTGCAACGACCAAATATGACTTAAAGTTTAATGCACTTTTCGGAAAACAATTGCATTGTCAAGTTTTGCCCAGAACCTGTGTTCGTCGTCGTCGTGGTATGCGAACTCCAAAGACAATAGTTCTACATCTTATGGCATTCTCGTTGTTGTTGTTGTAGCGCCCGTCCTTTCAATTTTAATTCCGCTCAAATCTTTTTGATGTAATCTCTTAGAATGTGTTCATAGACAGCCATGTACTATTGGTTGTTGTTGTGAATTAACCGTTGATTCTTTTGTTTAAATGCCAAGTGCAACAAAGAATTTGAAATATTTTCTTTGTTTTTTTTTTTTTTTTTGTTTATTTAAATATCTATGAATGCCAATTCATTTGTTAGCTTGTGTTTGGCTGATTGAAAATTTGTCTTGAAAAATAACTATCGATAAGAATAATAAATACCAAAACGATAAATTAAGAATAATCGATTGTTATTTGTCGATGGTGCCAATAACAAAATATGTTGGTTCAAAAGGAAACTTGAATTTGTTATACTTATAAATATAAACATAACAAGTAAAGAAGCTGTAAGTTCGGCCGGGTCGAACTTTGAATACCCTCCACCATTTGGAACGAATTTGGCAATTTTCAAAAAAATAAAATCCTTTCAAAGTTCTGTTAAAATCTTAAAAATACCGAATGTCGCTCTTATATTAGGGTCGGTCGAAGCGATGACGTGGACCTGCATTGGCAACTTTGCCATTAGAATATTCAAAAGCGAAACTTGAAAAAAAAAATCGGTGAATAATGTAGCTAAAATAATCAATATAGAAAGGTACTATTATATGGGGGCTATACCAAAATGTAGACCTGCACAGACAATTTTCTACCTTAGGCTATAGTATCCATTACGAACTTCAACTACAAAATTTGAAACAATTCCGGTGAATAATGTCGCTAAAATCATCACCGAAAATCGGGAGGTACCGTTATATTTGGGCTATACCAAAACGTGAACCTACATGGCCCATTTTCAATACCAAAAGTCTTACAGACTAATATACATTTGAGTAAAATTTTATCAATCTACTTCATTTCATTCGGAGGCTAGAGTGATTCCCACAGACGGACAGACCTACGGACATCGCTAAATCGACATAGAATTTCATGCTGATCATGAATATATATACTTTATGGGGTCTAAAATGTATACGGAATGACAAACTTAATATACCCTCCATACTATGGTTGAGGGTATAAAAAGAACACATTTTTAAATGGTAAACTTTGGTAATGCAGGTCAGGGCTAGTATCTATGATCCAACCAGTAATATAATTTTAATTTCACATTAAATTACAGGGAAATATATACAGGGCGAGATAAACACTGCAACAAGTCAAGCGTCATAAAATTTTTACATTTTAATTTTTTAATAAAAAAAATGTCGGAAATAGCATCAAATATTAGAATAAGTTTCGATTTGTTCGAATTGGCAACCTTTGGCACGAATTAAGGCCTTCAAACGGACAAAGAAACATTTACACGCTGCTCGAATGTTGCTCTGCGGCCTATTCCCGGCGAAGCGCTTGCTTGAGGTGATCGACACATTGGTATTTTTCAGTGCCATCCTTGCCTTCCAAAATACTCCAGACAGAATATTCCAATGGATTGGTATCCGGAGATTTTGGTGGATATTGTGCGCTGGAAATGAAGCGAGGTGCTGAGTCCTGTTGGAAAATACAAGGTCTGGGGACAAAATGTTTGTGCCCAAGGCTTTAATATACCCTCCAGAATATTTTCGGGATAATATACGGCATTTATTCTGAGGCCACGGTCGATTAATACGAGCGGAGAGTGGCAATTGGCTGTGATGACGGCACATTTTCAGCTGTTTTTTGTTTACAACCTGCTAGACAACGAATGTTTTCTCATCGGAGAAAACCAAATTCGCAGTTCACCACTTTCGACCAAGCGAAGCAACTTTTTAGCTCTTTTGAGTCTATTTTCTTTCAGTTGCGGTGTAAGTTATTGCACTTTTTGGTATTTCAATGGCTTTACCCCGAGCTCATTTTTCAATATTTGCCGAATGGAATATTGCATTATGTTCCGCTCACGAGCCATTTTTAAGCCACTGCGACGCGGGTTTCGATCAAGTCTCTTCTTTACTTTTCAGACCAAACTTCTGAAGTTGGTTTCAGTGTTTTCAGTGGCATTTTTCTCATCTCACCCAAATTTTCTATCCTGTTTTTATCGATATCCTCTAAGATTCGTAATTTTTTTTATGCTCATGACTACTACATTATCTATCATAAATAAAATTCATTTGACACATATCAAGACAAAAAAAACCTGACAATTTAATGTTATGTCGTTGATGAAAAAAAAATCCCGATCTCTATCTTTGATGACAAATTTTACGTTTTCAAAGAATTGTGTCAGCAAGATGAGAAAATTTACTCTCAGCAACCTGTTAAGCCAAGATATTAAAGGCATTTAGCGCAGTCTGCGGATGCTGCATTAATCAAGAGTTACATTTTCTTAACAGCTTTCCGACATTCACATATTTCAGTTGCACCGAATAAACAAAACAAAAGACTTAAGACACGAACACAAAGTTTAAAACCGGAAAAAACGCTAAGTGGAACATCCTTACAATTGGGTTAAACTCATTAACAAGATTTTTATTGTCGTTTGTTGTGTAAAACAAAAAAAAAAAACATGGAAAAATGTTTGCAATCTTTTAATAAAAATACAATTCAATTAAAATAAAATAACTTTATTACCAACCATAATTGACAAATGAAGGTATGCCGGACCCCATTTTATGCAATCTTTTCAATGGATGTTCTTTCACCAGCTCTGCTTGGTAATTTTCTTTTTCTTTCCTACACTCTGTGGCCAGAGCCATACCCTCTTACTCAATCATCATTTAATTACAGAGTTATGGCTTCCGTGTTATGTTTTTTCCGGCATCTTGGTCATGTTCATGTTGTAAGAGAGTTTTTGTTACTCCATCCCTACTCCTCCTCCTCCTGCTTCTTTGAGTCATACTTGTCTCCTTGTTCCAAGATTATAGTTTATGCAATAGAACGCCAAGGGTAATTAGATGGTTGGTACAAAAAGGTAGCTATGACTTAGAACCTGGTCTCCGAACAACTGCACCACCAGTAGCTAGTGACCAGACCAAACCACATCACAACAATCGCCTCAAAGAACTGTCATCAAGAACTCGTTTCTTTTGATTGAAGAGCAGAATAAAGTTGATTGAAAACACAATAGAATCACATTGCAGCCATCCAGCCAGCCCTGATGCAGCTTGATCTCAGAGATCAGCTGCCAGACACAAAAAGGAGAATATTTGATAGTCTTAGACAGGAAAATCGCAAAAATATTAGAAACGAGATCAGGAGCTTTTTTCATGTGATTCTGTGATCAATAAAACGAAAGGCTTGTCATCAATCAACATGATTGAGGGAAGAATGTGAAGTGAACTTGAAAAGAGAGAAACAAAAAAAAAAACGTTCGCCATCAACTCAGTCGGCAGCCTGAAACTAAAATGACAAATAGCCATAATATCGACAGTGGAATATCAATGAATGAAAGGAATTGATGTAAAATATCCCGCGAAGAAATATAAAAAATAGGAGGAAGAATGTAATTGTTGGGTAGACTGCTGAGAAAAGAGAGAACAACTTAGTGGAAAATATGTAATTTTTAATGAAATTATTAAAGTTATGATCACCATGACCACCATGTCTGCGTAAGTTGATGAACTCATAAGAATAGGAATTTTTTTCGATCTAGACTTTATTTTGTATTGAAATAAAATGAAACTTGAAACCTGTTGTTGAATGCAATGGATAGTTGGAATAATTGGATATGGATAAAATTGATATTTTAATACTGAAATCGGGTCAACAGTTCTCAAAGTTCAACCTTATGACTAGAGTCGAAATAACGATTTTAAATACAATATTGACTTATCAATGCCAATTAATCTGGCTAACAGGTGCGCACTATAACATCTGAAGGATTTATACGTTTTGATCTAAACTTGGCACATCGACTTTCAAGAATGGCAATATCTTCCTTCTAATACTTATCCCTCAAACGGCCAAAGAAAGAAATCATACATCTCATAGAAAGCGAATAGGATAATCAATTAGGTTGTTAAAATTTACAATATCGGCCCACTAATTCCGGTACTTCCTCTAAGAGGATGAACATCTTGAATAATCATTACTTTCATAAAATACAAAATTCTTCTCCAATTTTCCCCAAAGGCACATCTAAGAGCTAAAGAGTTTCTTCGCTTGACCGAAAGAGGTGAACTGCCGAATTTGGTTTTCTCCGATGAGAAAACATTCGTTGTCCAACAGTTTGTAAACAAACAA